GGACAGACCTGCAGCGTGTCCAACTGCCTCATGACGACCCGTTGGTAGTCAGTTTGACAGTGGCAGAGTGCTTGGTGCGCAGAGTTCTGATCGATCCTGGGAGCAGTGCGAATGTTATGCCAAGGGACACATTTGACAGGCTCGACATTAAACCAGAGAGGCTCAAGCCCACCGGAAATCCCTTATTAGGGTTCGATGGGAAGAGGGTGGAACCCGTCGGGATGGTGGAAGTAGAAGTTCAAGCTGCAGAGCGAGCTCTTATGGAAACTTTTGTGGTTGTGGAAATTCACCCCTCGTATAATCTCCTGATGGGAAGAGGATGGATTCACAGAGTCCGAGGTGTACCCTCAACTCTGCATCAGGTCATGAGGTGCCTCGGGCCCGATGGAGATAAAGTGATAGACATTCGGGGGGATCAGGTCGCAGCCAAAGAGTGTTATTCCGTCACGCTAAAGCATGCAGGGAAGGGAAAGGCGCCCGTCCGGTCGACAAGCCCCAGATAGCAATTACAGGAACCTCCACTCGAGCAGAATAGGGTGGAGGAGTCAGCCGACTTGACCGAGGAGCCCCTTCTGGATGTGCAGATCGATCAGTCCAGGCCAGAACGAACTACCAGAGTGGGTATAAGACTGACCAGAGAAGAGCAGCAAGAGCTAGTGGATTTCTTATCCCACAATGTCGACGTATTTGCATGGAGTCATCTCGACATGCCAGGAATTAGTCCTTCCGTCTCCTGTCATTCCCTGAATGTCAATCCTAATTTCAAACCAGTGAAACAGAAGCAGCGAAGATTTGCTCCAGAACGTAATCAGATCATAACGGAAGAAGTTGATAGGCTGCTTGATGCGGGATTTATCAGAGAGGTGCACTACCCTGAGTGGTTGTCCAACGTCGTTGTGGTGCAGAAGAAAAATGGGAAATGGCGCGTATGCATTGATTTCACCAATTTAAACAAAGCCTGCCCGAAGGACAGTTTCCCGTTGCCTAAGATTGATCAAATGGTGGATGCCACCACGGGGTATGAGCGTTTAACCTTTCTGGACGCATATTCAGGTTATAATCAGATTCCTATGGACCCCGCAGATGAAGAAAAAACTTCTTTTGTCACCGAGCGAGGAACGTACTGCTACAAGGTTATGCCTTTTGGATTAAAGAATGCGGGAGCAACTTATCAACGACTTGTCAGCAAAGTTTTTAAGAATCAAATGGGTAAGATTGTCGAAGCCTATATTGATGACATGGTGGTGAAAAGTAGGAAAAAGGATGATCATCTGAAGCATCTGCAAGAGGTATTTGATGTACTAAAGCGATATGGGATGAGGCTCAATCCGACCAAGTGCTCGTTCGGTGTGAGTTCCGGGCAGTTTCTGGGACACGTGGTCAACCGCAGGGGCATCGAAGTTAGCCCCGCTCAAGCAGAGGCTTTGATTAAGAATGCCGAGCCAAAGACGATCAGAGAGGTGCAAGCCCTAACAGGACGAATAGCTGCATTAAGTCGATTTATTTCAAAGTTGTCAGACCACTGCAAACCATTCTTTGACACGATTCGGAGCCATGGAAGGCAGGTCTGGGGGGATGAGCAACGACAGGCATTGACTCATTTGAAGCAATATATGCAGAATCCGCCAGTCCTGTCAGCCCCAGAACCGGAAGAAAAGTTATTTCTATATCTTGGAGTATCTGGTGTCGCGACGAGTGCCGTTCTGATTCGTTGCAAGGAAGGGGTGCAATACCCAGTATTTTATGTAAGCAAGACACTGATGGAGGCAGAAAAAAGATACTCAAAGGCCGAACGGGTGGTACTTGCACTTGTAAATGCAAAAAGAAAGTTAAGGCATTATTTTGAATCCCACCCCATAGCTGTTCTAACAACTTTCCCAATCAGAACGCTCATGCACAAGCCAGAGCTCTCGGGCAGAATGACAAAGTGGGCCATAGAGTTGAGTTCATTTGACATAACGTACGAGCCGAGAACAGCTATTAAAGGGCAAGCGGTGGCCGATTTCCTACTAGAATGTGATGCCGAAGATACGGAAGAGGACCTTAGAAGCGGCTCTTGGAAACTTTTTGTGGATGGTTCCTCTAACCCGACGGGGGCTGGGATTGGGATCAAACTGCAAACCCCAGAAGGTACTTCCTTGAGCCAAGCACTCAGACTTGAGTTCCGAGCCACCAATAATGAAGCGGAATACGAGGCGTTGCTAAATGGATTAAAGTTGGCCAAAGAGCTACAGATCAAAAGTTTGACAGTGTATAGTGACTCGCAGCTGATTGTTCGGCAGGTAAATGGTGAGTACGCAACCAAGGATGACATGATGGGGGCATACCGTTCTGCCGTTCTGCGTAGAGCCAAGGACTTTGCAAAGATTGAATTCATACAGTTGCCGAGGGAACAGAATGCAGATGCAGACCGTTTAGCATGCAGTGCTTCAAGTTGTGGTGAAACATTGGCGAGGGTGATTCCAGTGGGAATAGTGACCCAGCCGTCCATTTTCGAAGAACCGATGGTCTCGGACCCTTGGCAAGTCAACGTCATACCGTATGAACCGAGTTGGATTGACCCAATCATTACCTATATTCGAGATGGCGTTTTGCCTATGCAAAGGGATGAAGCTAGGAAACTCAAAAAGAATGCTGCCAAGTACGCCATCGTGCGGAACCAGCTGTACAGAAGGTCCTATTCTGGCCCGTACTTGAAATGTGTCACCCCCGCGGAATCGCAGCAGGTATTGCGAGCTATTCATGAGGGTGTGTGTGGCAATCATTCTGGGGGAAGATCGTTAGCGCATAAAGCAATGACACAAGGGTATTTTTGGCCAAACATGTCAAGAGATGCGGAGGAGTTCTCTCGAAGGTGCGATAAGTGCCAACGATATGGACCAATGATCCACCAACCACCTGAAGAATTGCACGTAATGGCCTCGCCGTGGCCTTTCGCGCAATGGGGGATGGATGTGGTCGGTCCTCTGCCAACTGCAAGAGCTCAGAACAAGTATGTGTTACTGGCCACGGATTATTTCACTAAATGGGTGGAGGCAGAACCGTATCCTAGCGTGACTCAGACTCAGGTGAGACGATTTATCTGGAACAACATTATCTGCCGCTTCGGTGTTCCCAGAGCAATAGTCATGGACAATGGCACAAACCTCGACAGCAGGCAAGTAAGAAAGCTGCTGGAGGAGTATGGAATCAACCAGAAGTTGGCTGCAGTAAGTCATCCTCAGGCTAACGGACAAGCAGAAATCACAAACAGAACCATTTTCGCCTGCATTAAGAAGAAGCTGGAAGATCATAAGGGGAAGTGGTTGGATGAACTCCCGAACGTTCTATGGGCTTACAGAACCACCCCAAGGCGGCCGACTGGGGAGAGCCCGTTCGCGATGGCGTATGGTACCGAAGCAGTTATACCGGTTGAGCATTTAGTCCCCACTATCAGAAGCTTAGCATGGAGTCGAGATCAGAACGACAAGATGTTAAGATTGAACCTCGACATGATAGACGAAAGGAGGGACGCAGCGGCTATAAGGCTAGCATCGTATCAGCAAGTGCTGGCGAATAGTCACAATAAGAGAGTAAAACACAGGGATTTTGCCCCGGGCGATCTGGTTCTGAAAAGAAAGGTGGGGATGGTCAAAAAAATGATGCCACCCTGGGAAGGCCCATACAGAATTGCAGAAGTCATTGGCAAAGGGGCATATACGTTGGAAACCATGGCGGGAAAGTTGGTCAACAAGCCCTGGAACGCCACGTCTCTGAAGAGGTACTATCAATAGAAGCTAAGTTCTGGTTTTAATTGGATGTTATTTGTTGTTAATCAAATACATATGAATGAGCAAGTTACCGGAATTTACAAAAAAAGAAGAGAAGAATTTTCTTTTCCAATGGTCTACTATAAAAATTGAAAGCCAAGTGGCAAGTGGCATTCTAGCCGAGCGCCAGGCACTTAAGCAAGATAAGTGGCAGCTGGCACTATAAGCCGAACGCCAGACACTTGCTAAAAATTGAAAGCCAAGTGGCAAGTGGCATTCTAGCCGAGCGCCAGGCACTTAAGCAAGATAAGTGGCAGCTGGCACTATAAGCCGAACGCCAGACACTTGCTAAAAATTGAAAGCCAAGTGGCAAGTGGCATTCTAGCCGAGCGCCAGGCACTTAAGCAAGATAAGTGGCAGCTGGCACTATAAGCCGAACGCCAGACACTTGCTAAAAATTTAAAGCCAAGTGGCAAGTGGCATTCTAGCCGAGCGCCAGGCACTTGCCGTACAAACACACAGCAAAACTAATATAAAAAGAAAAAGAGAGAAAAGATATATATGTACTGAAGATAAGTTGAACAGAGCACAACACATAGAGAAAAAGAGTTCGGCCATTTCATTAATATTGAACATTTAGTTTACAAAAGAGAGGTGTCCATCATTACAAGAAGATATGAACTGGAAGAATTCGAAGGAGCCCTAGCTAGACGCCTCAGTACCAACAGCATCCTGGTCCTGCCGACTCGCCTCCTCGGCCCCATCAGCCGCCTCACCTTCATGAGGTGGGGAATCCAGGTGAATAACTGAGTCGTTCGGCTGGGGTTCAGCGTCAGCAGTGGCTACAGAGGGAGCCACGGTTGACGATTGGGGAGCGGTCAGTGGCAGAGCGGTAGGAGGAGCTGTGATGATCCTTGAGGATGCGATGTCCTGGCACTCATCAAATATACGCTCCGCTTCGGTGGGTTCTGGGTCGACATAGACCCCCAGAGGCTCGATCCCCAGATCCTTGTCTACCTCATCCGGAGTGGAGCTGGTCTGTCCCTCATCCGGAACCCGGTCGGCGAAGCCTTCCCGGAATCCTTGAGCATACCGAAGAGCACCGACCCTGGAGAACCGAGCATGAAGGGCCAGCATCCCACCACCCACTCTGCTGATAACGTCGATCAGAGCGGTACGCTCGTCCAGAGCTCTTTTTTCAAAAGCCATCCGAGCAGACTGTTCATCAGCTAGAAGACGTTGGAGTTCTGCCTTCTCTTCCCTGAGTGATTCCTGCTCAGTCTGCCAGACGCTCTTCTCGAGCTGGAGGGCGTCCTTCTCATCCTGAAGGGAATCATTCTCCTTTTTCAGGACATCTCTCTCTTGCTCGGCTTTGTCAAGCCGAACCAGCACCTCGGTATTCTTCATGGCAAGGAGGTCGTTCTCTTTATTAGCCACCTCCAGGCTGTCAGAATACTTTCGGGCCCTGGCGTTCCCCATTTCCACCTGCTTCTGCATGGCCATCATCCCAAACAATGTCTGCATAGGTGCACAATAAGAACGGTTAAACCAATAGTCAGAACGGGAGAAGGCAAGACCAAGTAATATAAGAGAATTCATGAGTTAGAAAATAAAAGTCACCTCCATAGCAGATTGGGGAAAGCGACTGAACACGTCCTTCTGGGAAAGGCCCTTTGCCGCCTCAATGTCCTTCGGAGTCCACATGCTCCTGTAGTAGGCCATAGCGGTCTGGCCATCCTTCAGCATGGTCTCGTTCGGTTTCACGAACGTCCCATCCGTTCGAGTGTACCGAGGGGCCCATGGCGGCAAGCTGGGGATAGAAGGGGGGCCTGAAGCAGAAGCAGAGCCACCAGCTGCAGGAGGCCCAGAGTGAGAAGGAGCTCTGATCGCTCGGTGCAAGAGAGTACCCGGCCCAGAGACTCGGGTCCTTCTAATAAGAGGCTCCTCCTCAGGGTCGATTTCACTGTCAGGATGAGGCCTTTTGCCTCGCTCTTTGTCCCGACCGCCCCCCGCAGCAGCAGGAGCTATGGTAGCTGGGGAGGGCGCGTTCTGGTTGGCCGCAGGGGCGCTGGCAGCAGGGTTAGTAGCCACTGCGCTCGGGACAGTGTCAGATATGGTGGCTGAAGAAGAAGCCGACGCTGGAGAGGAGGTCGCCCCAGCAGCAGGAATGACTGGGGGAGTATTTTTCCTCCTGCCAAAAGAGGGAATCTGCAGTCTGCTCATATTGTAGCCGAGTGATGAGAGCGCAAAGAGGTTGTCTGAAGTGAGGAGATCTGAGCAGGAAGGAATATCGTTCAGAACGTATCTCTTCAAGTAGTTAATCCTATCCCTGCAAACACTGTAGCTCAAGTCATCACAAGGTATTCCCAAGGAGCGGCATAAGTAAGTGCAAAAACGAGGAACGCATGTTTCACAGGGGCAGTCGTGTTTATGGGATTTGAATTTTTTATAGGAGGAGACAGAGCAGACACCAAAGGCGCTCGGGATAGGGTAATCCTCTGCAGCCGGCGAAGACCAAGCCCCACTAATACCCACTATGCTATCCCTCCAACCCTTTTCAGATTTTATTGTGTCAGTGCATATGGACATCTTCTCGAACGGGTAGAGGTGGTAGAAGGGCTCGTTAGTACGGATCTTACTGACCTTATAGCACAGAAGGAGGTCTATGAGGTCAAGGTCCAGATTTCTGTCACGCATCAATAAGAGCATAACAGATATGATCCTAAAGAAGTTGGGGTTGACCTGCAGAGGGGATATCCCCAATCTGTTGAAGACGTAACTAAAGAAAGGGTGCAGAGGGAACCTAACAACATTCAGTTGAAGGTTTGTGAATAAGACTTCGCCGGGCAGGAGGCCGGCGCCGGTCGTAATATTAACGTCTTGGGGGCAAACCCTAACTACGATGTTGTCAGGAAGCCTAAGTCTCATACGAAGGACACCCAGATCTACAACCATGGTGGAAGTGCAAGAAGAATCTAAAAGAGGGAAAATGGAAGCCTGCCGAAAGTAAAAAGAACGAAACTAACCTCGGAGGACTGCAAGATCGCTGGGAGAATGACTCTCGAAGGATTTCACCGGAAAAGGCTTAGCACAGTTCTAGAAAGAGGGAGATTTGGCTGATGATGGAGACGGTAAAGGGAAGTGAAGTGGAATTCGAGAGCATTATATAGGCAAGGGGGCCCGAGGGCCGAAGCGTCGGGAAGGCAAGAAATCCCTCGAACCCCGGAACATTGATTCTGGATCTGACCGTTCGCTCCCCCACGTGGTTATCTCGAGCCGTCAGCGTCATGATGAGACGCCATCAATAATTACCCCTTATTAAATAAGGGGCAATTATGGGGGCAGTTGAGGAGGCCCTGGATGACATGGGCCAGGTCCGACTCGCAAAACACAACCTTCAGTCCGAACAGCTGGGTCAGCCCATAAAAAGACACTGCCATATGGGCCGAGCGGGAGTAAGCCCATCAAGAGTGACCAGGGCTTACTGAGGAATAGGCCCAGGTCCAGCAATTAGTAAATATCTTGTAAATATCTTGTAAATATCTATAAATAGGAGTTGGAAGGAAGAGGAGGAGGATCTTGATTGGGGTTGAGGTGTAAGAATTCTAGAGAGAGAAAGAATAGAAAGAGTTTCTTGCATCTTCACTCACCTAGTCTATTATGCCATCGCATTAACATATCTTTATTGACATTACTATTCCTAACGCTAGATTGATTTGCAACATAATAAGAAGTTGGCTTCACGTTCAGCAAATACAAGCCATTGTCCTCACGTCTGCTTCCAATCGTCTTCCCCGTGTCCAAGTCCTGAAACACACAGTGAGATGGAAAAAAGGTTACCCTATTCAAGCCTTTTGTAATGTGACTGACAGAAAGGAGGTTATTGGTAAACTTTGGAACATGAAGAACAGAGGATAATGTAAGATTAGGAGAGGCAGAAACAATGCCCTTCCCCGCAATGGAGGTGAAGGTGCCATCAGCCACTCTAACCTTATCCTTACCAGAACATTAACTGTACGAAGAAAAATCAGATGCCATACCAGTCATGTGATCAGTGGCTCCTGAATCAATGATCCAGGGTGGTCCACCAAATGATGTGGAAACCTGATGTGCCGTATGAGAGGTACCTGTCTGAGTGAAGTTAGAGGTGGAAACGAAGGAATGTTGTGCTAGTAGATGTCGGAGAGCATCAAGTTCAGCCCTGCTTCCAATCGTCTTCCCCGTGTCCAAGTCCTGAAACACACAGTGAGATGGAAAAAATGTTGCACTATTCAAGCCTTTTGTAATGTGACTGACAGAAAGGAGGTTATTGTTTAGCCCTGGACAAAGAACTCGGTGGCCCTGAGGAGGCATGACCAGTAGAAGCAGTCTCACGCTCTGCAGTATGTGCCGTAGATAACCCCCTAAAAGGATCAGGCCTTGGCCTACCATTCGCATTAACAGGAGCTGGAGTAGGGCGACCGTGTAGATTCCAACATGTTTCTCTAGTGTGGCGTGTACGCCCACAGTGATCACACCTCAACTTGCTTTTGTCATGCTGTTTCCCTCTTTTTGGAGGATTGGGCTTGTTCCATTGTTGTGTGGCAAGAGCAGACCTCTCTGACAATGGTACTTCTGGCTTAGGCTTAGTGTATACAGGTGCATACATAGCCTTCATTCTACTCTCCTCAGCCTGGATATACGAAAACACATCTTTAACAGAAGTAGGGGCTGGATACCTGCCTAACACTTGCACCCTGGCATGCTCGTATCTCGGATGCAGACCACCTGAGAACTCATAGATTCGATTCCTTTCTACCATAGCATGAAATGCTGTAAAATTAGCTGCGCACACAGGTATGTAGTCTTAGTAGTGATCTAACTCTTCCCATTTACCATGTCGAGTGTGGTAATATGTAGCAAGAGTTTGGTCTTCCTGCTTAAATCTTGAAATTTGTTGTTGGAATTCATACAGTTTTGCAAAATTATCAACCGAGGAATACGTCTCTTCTATAGCCGTCCATAGGTCTTTAGCTATTTTCACAAATAGAAACACTTTGCTGATCTGTGGCTGCATGGACTGCTACAACCACGCCATAACTAGTGCATTATTTGTACTCCACTCTTTGAATGCAGGATCGCTCTTGGAGGGATATGTGACAATCCCTTCGATATGGTCGATCATCCTATGACCAGTGATATGCATACGAGCAAATTAAGCCTATTCCATATAGTTCGTCTCATCCAGCCTAACAGTTGTAATACAAAGGCCTGGATGGTGATCACTGCTACCTCCTACTACTGGAGTCAGACTAGGAGAAAACCCAGCTTCTTTTGAAGTCACCTCTAAGCCAGACATTTTATCAAACAATTTCTGGGTATACAATCTTCAGAAACAAAAACAGCAACAAAATACGTAGAGAATAACCTCTCTAACACACAAACTTCAACTAAAAAGATTACCGCATTCTGAGATGTATAGAAAAGCGACAACACAAACCCTAGAAAGCAACAAAATAGACCATACCAGAATCGCGAACGACGAAGAAAAAGCCGCTGGTGCAGAACCCCGCGAACACAAAAAAACACCGATCGAGTGGATGTGATTAACACTACTTCCTTACAAGCAAATCCCATCTTGGAAAATCTCTTCAAAACCCTTCACACCCACTAGGGCTTACACAAACTTGCCCTAGGGTTTCAACTACAAACGTAGAGCTTAACAAACTATGCTCTGATACCATGTTGACTTTAAGATATAATCAAATCAAAAGTAAGTGATAAAGAAGAAGAAGAAAAAGAGAAGAAAGCGGATGAGAGAGAGAGAGAGTGATGGGGAAAGAGAGAGAGAATGAAAGAATTCTTTCATCCTTCCACCACATTCTATTTATAATAAGAAGTTTAAAAAATTACACATAAGCCCCAACATTATATAAGTAATAACAAATAAGCCCCTGACAACAGTTACTGTGTTTGCAATTTCCCACTCAAAACCTCGGTTGTAATATTTGTCAATATTGTGAGTTGTTTGTCTTAACCTCAAAAGATGATAGAGATGGAGCTCAGTGAAGAAAGCGCTGAAAATCTCTCAAGACTTAAGCATATATCTAGGTTAAGGTAAGTTAAGACCATAGAGACCAAAAATATGACCGAGGTGTGCTCTTTAGAAGGCTCAAAATTATGTTTTAATCATGCTTATCGAAATGAGATTTTTGATAAAATTATTTTCAAAATAGGAGGCTACTAAAGTTCTTTCCCATTTTCGGAATCCGAGTCCATTGGGAAACTGAAACAATCCAAAAAAGACTTGTTCTCAAATTTTTTATTGTTCTCATTTTAAAAAAATGCAAAGAAATAAGATTATGAAAATGATGAAAAAGAAAATGCTACCAAAAACACCTTGAATACTTCCTTCATTTAGCTATAAAACTAAGATTAAATGAAGGTCCAAGACATATGGTCACAAACAATTTTCCATTGACCAAATCAAATTCTTGATCAGTGTGTTTGCCAAAGATACCATTTTTGGCTTTTGAAGAGGGGATGTCTTCTCTAACAAGGCGTAGTTACCTCATCAGGATGGCTGAACAGATCCAAACATATAATGCGCGTTCAGTTTAGGTTTAGCTCATACAAATATTTGGGACAAATGGGTGGAACTGATTAAATTGTGGTTAACTTGCTCAGCTGGGATGTGTGTGTGTGTGAGAGAGAGAGAGAGTTAAGGTTGTCATTTTTTTTTTTCCTGATTTTTATTGATTACCTATAGAAAGTAGAGTTTGGCTCTCTAACCTGTTTATCCTGTCACAATGTTCCTAATTGATTTCATCATGCTGCTTCTATACTCACGAAGCATTTAATCCAACATGACATGAACAAGAAAGTGAAATGATTATTGAAAATATGCAGAATTCTGGTGTATGGAGGGTTTAAAAATGTTATTGTAGTGTTATATATCTATTTTAAATGGGTTCCATGCAGAATTAGATACATGAAATACGTGTTTTGCAATAGCGATCTCAAGAGCTAACTTGGTTCAGTGTCTTAACTTATTGCTTGATGTTAATCTCCTCTTTTTATTCCTTTAAATTGTATGACCATTTTGCTTGGTCTGATATGAGAACAAACTTATAGCTTAATATAATTTCAAATCCTAATCAATGCCACATTTTGGTTCATTTGCAGAAGCAGCTGGGATTTCGCTGCCTAATCATCATTCTGTTGTCGGTGTGCTCCCTCAACCATGTTCCTTAGGGAATAGGCAAGATAAGAAATGCTTGAAGTATTTGTTTTCAGTTTTCTGGTCTTTCAGGAACCCCCCCCCCCCCCCCCCCCCCCCCCCCCCTCCCCCCCCAACAACAACAACACACGCAGACACACCCACACCAAAGACCGAAAGTTCAAGCAATGAGTTTATGATATTTTGAGCAAGCTACTTTATATCCCAATTTATTTGCAAAATAGCGATCACAACAGTTTTCATAATTATCCTTTGCTACTTTCCGTTCTACACTCTAGAGACAGACCATGCACTTGAGACTGCCAAGTTTCTGGGGAAATGCTGGTATCAACCAGCATTGGCCATGTGGCCTATCAGTGGACGCCCTCAATGTCAAAAGGTTTCCTTGCACGACCCGCTACATGACACAGTTGATAATCCTAGCCATATGGGCATGCTGGTATTAGTAACCCCTGCCATTATGCTATGCAACTCCAAGCATTCTTGTGCTCAGCACATGCTGTCACACTTGGTTCATGTGATTAGCTAACTGACCTTCATGTGGCATGGGCCATGCCCATGTTCACTGCTCACCGTGTGCAATGCTTGCACATTGCCAGCTTACTGCTTACCGATGTGCAACTCAACTCAGCGCAACTCTAATCGACCAACTCCTGTCCTAACTATTAGGGGTCAATTTAATATTCCTGTTATGTTATCCTGATCTAAGGTGATTACTTTTGATAAAGCACACTTCATATCTTTTTTTACCATCTCAACCTATATTTATTTGATTTTGTTCTTCCTCTGGCATTACTCTCAATGTGAATCATGTCCTTTTCTTATTGGTGCAGTTATTGGTTTAACCATCTTATCTGATTCTGTCTCATTTGGTCTCCTAATGGATGCTACTTCAATAGTTTCACAAATAGAATCAATTCTAATATTTGAACTGGGAACCATATCTGCACCAAGTTTCTTTCAGCCTCCATAACTTCTTCAGAAAAAAAGCCTTTTTAATCATTCCCTATCCTCATTTGATATGTAGGGTTATAATCCTGCCTCTCCAGTCAGAATCTCCTGCTACTCGTCTTTGTATAGAGTCTTATAAAATGAAACAATATTCCAATTTCAACCTAATCTGATTTTCTCTTCCCTTCTCCTCTGCATCAATAACCAGCCGCCTTATTTGGTTACCGTCTATCATATTGGCCAGACAATGGAAAAATCTAGTGTTCTAATAAAAGCTAAAATTTGTTAGATTCTGTTAGTCCATTACTTCACATTAAATATTCACTTAGGTTAATGTGTTTTTCCTCATCATTTGCAACAATTTATTCATTTGCAGGGTGCTGATTGCATATGAGAATGGGGTGATCGTTATCTGGGATATTACTGAAGATCGGGCTGTTGTTGTTAGAGGCTATAAGGATCTTCAACTGAAGGATAAAACAGTTGTGGACATTCCAAATGACGCGAGCCATGAGCACACTGATGCATCAGACAATGAACAAGCAGAAAAGGAGATAAGCTCTCTTTGTTGGATATCTTCTGATGGGTCCATTCTTGCTGTCGGTTATGTAGATGGAGATATTTTGCTATGGAACTTATCAACTGCTACCTCTACCAAAGATCAGCAAGCTCAGAAGTCATCTAATAATGTTGTTAAGCTACAATTATCATCAGGTGACAGAAGACTTCCAGTTATTGTTTTACATTGGTCTGGAGACACAGCACATAATGATCGTGGGGGAAAACTCTTTGTCTACGGTGGTGATGATATTGGATCTGAAGAAGTTCTAACGGTGTGCTCTAAACCTAATTCGGTTTTCTTCTCATTCTCCACCTAGTAATTCCATATGCTACCGAAATTTCCGAATGTTTTAATCTTCTTATATGGTGCAGGCCTCCTACTACCATTGTTATGAATATAGGTTATGAATGTACTATATAAGTAAAATATTAATTTTGTCATTCTTGTAAAATTTATATCATTGTAGCCGACCCCAAGTAATTGGGAAAAGGCTTGGTGGTGGTGGCTGTTATTATTATATTATTATTTGATAAAACATTCTTGTAAGATGTTAGTGATGCTATTATTGACGGTACTAGGATTCCATCAATGAATACAGTTGAAATGAGGAGTTCCAGTATTCTGTTTGGTGTGTGTATGTCTTATTAATTATGACTATCTTATTGATATTTTATCTGTCTTTTGCAGATCCTGAATCTCGATTGGTCTTCTGGCGTAGAAAATTTGAAGTGCATTGGCCGTGTAGACCTTACACTTAATGGTTCTTTTGCGGATATGATTTTAGCACCAAAAGCCGGTGCAACAGAAAGGAGTGACACGACTTCAATATTTGTACTGAACAGCCCAGGACAACTGTTTTTTTATGATGACGCTTGCTTGACTGCCTTAATGTCTCAGCCTGAGAAGAAGCATTTTATTCCTGCAGTTCAGTATCCTGCAATTATACCTACTGTTGAACCATGCATGACCATTGCGAAGCTCAGTCTGGTGCATACAGATGGAAGTTCTTCAAAGGCTCTCTCAGAGGTACTGAATACCTTCTGTGCATGAGCTACTTTTGAGATACTCAGAATGTTCAATACATTCTTTTTTTTTTGGGTCACTGTCCATTACTAACTTATTTACTGTTTAATTTGACTATCTAGACAGTTTCAGCAGCAAAACTTCAAGTAGCACAAGCTTTGAATACTGGGAGTACCAATTGGCCTTTGACTGGTGGCGTTCCCAGTCAGTTGTCCTTTGGTAAAGATCATGGGATTGAGAGAGTCTATATAGCAGGCTATCAAGATGGATCTGTTCGAATATGGGATTCTACATTTCCAGTTCTGTCACTTATTTTCGTCTTAGAATCTGAGGTTTGTACAGATTTGCAAATTGTCAAATATTTTGATTTTGTAGATGTCTAACCACTATTTTTGTCAACAGCTCAATATTTATATTATTTGTGAAACTGGTACTTAATAAAACATGCACCATATGTTACGCAGCTGGAAGGCTTAGAAGTTGCTGGTGCTAGTGCATCAATATCAGCACTGGACTTTTGTTCATCCACTTTAAGTTTAGCTGTTGGCAACGAACACGGTCTGGTGAGCGTTATTTTTCTTTTTCTAGCTTTGGCTACCTTTTTCAGGGACTATAAACTTGAATACTGATAATATACATCTTTTTTGGATTATTTTAGGTTCGTCTATATAGGCTAATGGGGAACTCGGATGATAAAAAATTGCACTTTGTGACCGAAGCAAAACATGAAGGTCCGATTTTTTAAATACTAATTATTTGCATAATGCTAACTTCGTGCCATTTTTTTTTCCATGGTAAGGTAAAGTATATTCCTGCCTACTTCTTAGCATGCCAGAAATTTTGCATTTTATTGAATTTCTTGAAAGTTAGATAACAAACATGGACTGGAAGAAGGTGCAATTTTGAAAACTAGAGTGAGGAATTTATAATTATTAAATACAAGGGGTAGGAGTCAAAACTTCTGTTGTATGAAATTGCTTGAACTTCGGCTGTGCAATGTGCAATATCAAAGAGAGTAAACAAGAAGAGAAACGGCAACCACATGGGATTTTTCTGTGGGCCAATCAATTTGGTGTAGGGGGATTTTGTTCTTTTTCTTTGGGTTTGGGGGTAAGGAGTGAATTAGATACCTTTTTCTTTTTCTTCTTTTTCTGTTAGAAGAGAGGGGTTCAGGGGTTGGTATAGTATTTTTGGGTGTTTGATTCAAGTGGTATACCAACTCTAGGTTGAGATGTCTTGCAATACATGGAAACTTCAAAGTGAACTTCAATTCTCTTGTAAGTACTGAAAGTAAATGCTTTATTCCAAAAACTTAACTGATTGAATGGTTTACCATTATACTTGTTAATCATTTTACTTTTGATGAAATTACCAAAGTCATGTACCAAAAGATGAAAGAAATTAGGGATGCTTGAGGCTTCCCATTTCAAGCAAGGTTATAGCACGAGTTTACATTTAGTCACATAGTAATATGGGATTATGAATATTTCTAGGGCCTGTTGAAGGATTTAAATATTAAAGTGGCACCCTTTCTAACAGATTAAGCTTTTGGAGTAGATGGTTGTTAACATGGTATCAGAGCCAAAGGTCTCGAGTTCAAACCTCACCGTCAATCTAATTAAAATTGAAAAACATGTGTAAGAACAAAACATGAGGGAGCATGTTGAAGGATTTAAATATTAAAGGTACACCCTCTTACAGCTTAAGCTTTTGGAGTAGATGACTGTTAACAGGGCGTCAGGGCCAACCCTAACCAGAATTTCGGTTGGGAGTCTTCTCTTGTGTCTGATGAACATGCTGGAGAAGGACAAATAAAAACTCAACCTCTACCTATATAGTGACTGACGTTACAAATTTAGGTGGAATTTTGCAAAGAGATATGAACTCATTCCTATAAAGCTGTTTGAACTTTTTAAGGCCACCTCTGCATTAAGAAACCAAAGAAAAGTTTGTTAATCCTTGTCCGAACTGTTTGATGTCAGTTATCTATATTCTCTTTAACTTCCTGTCTAGGATCACAATTTCATTTAAACAACATGTTACCATGTCTTTCCATACCACTTTGAGAAACTTATTAGAAACCAAAGGAAGAAAAAGAAAGAGAAGGATCGAAAATCAGGTAGACCACACTACGAGCATTGGCAAAAGGAAGCTTTGAAGGAGAGGAAAGTGGTTTTGTGGTTGATGCCTCCATTATTCAATAAACGAACAACTAGTGCTACTTGTTATAATATAGTTTTTGATTAAATGAGTATTTTTCACCGTGTTAACTGGTTCTCTTTATTGCTAAGATGATGATCACTGGGTAGCTTGTTTGCAGTTTGCAGTTTGAACCATGAAAACGGAGCTCAGTGCACAGCTGTATTTTCCTTCCTAAATTCTCCTGTACACACCATGCAGTATGCAAATTCTGGAGTTAGACTTGCTGTAGGATTTGAATGTGGTCGGGTAAGCAACATCTGGTGGTAGTTAATGCTAATCTATTAAACTTATTCATCTTAGGTATAGTTACAATATCAGCTAAGTCATTGTCAGGGATTCACATTTTAATTGTCCCATTTCAGGTTGCGATGCTTGATATCAATTCGTTCTCAGTTTTGTTTCTTACAGACTCCGTATCCAGCCCAAGTTCCCCTCCTGTTTCTCTTGCTGTTGAAGCATTCTCAGATTTTCACCAGAGTCTGGATCACAGTGTGACCAGAACCTCAAATGAATCTGCAAGGGAAGTAGTTTTCATCTTGACCAGAGATGCCCACATTGTTGTTACAGATAGCACCACCGGCAACGTAATCAGCTCTTGGTCAATACTACCAAAGGAGTCAACTGCAATTTCCCTTTATATATTAGGCAAGTATTATCTTCTTTAATGAATATTAGTTTATGAGTTCACACTGATTTATCTTTTATAGCTTTCTGGGAACTGTTCATATGCAGAGGGCAATATTTCTCTCTCTGAAGTGTCTGGTGAAAAGCATTCACCGATCTCATCTCAGGATTCTGAAGCAAGAAATGAACCTGGAGAAACCACTTCTCACCCCAATAGGGAGTCGCTTGGAACTGAATCTGGTGCCTCTACTAAAGCCTCGCATTTGGGGCAGAAATTTAAGGATTCACTCGTCTTACTTTGCTGTGAGGATGTGTTGCGTTTGTACTCTTTGAAGTCTGTTGTTCAGGTGTCTTTTCTTATCCATATTGCTTTCGTCAGTTCTGTATTTCTTTCACGGTTAAGGTGAATTGCTCTATTTCAGGGGGACAACAACTCCATTCGTAAAGTGAATCTTGTAAAACCATGTTGCTGGACTACAGTTTTTAAGAAAGAGGGAAAAATATGTGGACTGGTTATAGTCTATCAGACTGGATTAATTGAGATAAGGTGAAGTGCTTATTTGCAGTATTTCCTTTTCTAGTTTTGACTGTTACTGCTTAGTGACATGATGCAATTCAATTGCTTTTTGGTAGTATTTTGGCTTTTCCTTGACTGTTTAGGTTTGCAATGTGAATCTTTTTTTGATATCTCACTTTAAATTAATTTGACACGTGGTTTCTGATTTCATCCTTGGACAGGTCTTTGCCAGATCTTGAAGTTGTGGGAGAAAGTTCTTTAATGTCAATTCTTAGATGGAACTTCAAGCCTAATATGAACAAAACAATGAGTTCTTCCAACACAGGGCAGATTACTCTGGTTTGTTATTTTCTAACCCTGTAGAACCGATCAGTTGTTCATTGACCTTGATTTTGCTGCAATCTACTATAGTATGATGTTTTTCTGAACTTTATGGTTCGATGAAGTCACAATTGATCTTTTTTTCCAGCTTATTATATCATGTCCTGGAATTGTTTGGAGAGTAATCACAAGATATATGTTATTTTTTCCAAATCTAGACATTCTGATCTTTTGCTAATATTATTTGCAAAGATCTTTCAACAGTTTGCATCCTTTGTACTCAAAACTTGGGTTGCTGCAAACTGTTTCAGATGGATTTTAATCATGAATTTTTTTTACGTTGAACATTGGTTCAGAATTGAAGTGCTGAGAATTGTTGCCTATGAAAACTATAGCAATATTGGTCCTGCTAACATGTTACAACTCTGTCCAGACTTGTTTTAGGCCAAATTGGGACCAAATTAAAATGGAAAGTTTATAAGCTAACGTCACTTGAAGGAAGATTATTTAGATAAGGCAGTAAACAGATTCACAGAGGTAGCTGTAGATTATTCTAATACTAGTTTCAGTCGTCGTTTATTGAGACTTCATTGAATCTCAAATGCATATTGAAAAAAGTGGTATGACAATATCAGCTGAAACACAACGATAAGTAAGGATGATGCATGATTAGAATTTAGAAAAAGACACCTTGAAAGTTGGAACAATGAAGCGCAAATAAGCTGTGCCATATGATTCATAAGTTCATTAATCCACACTAATTTTGAGCCACGAGTCTTTTACTTGATTTATATATTTTGTAGAAAACTAGCATTAGAGGCTGTTTGATAGTAGGCCGTACCAGTGCTGCCAAGAGGAGCAAAACTTGGTCAGTCAACTACGATTGTTATTGAGGAGAGCAAAAAAAAAAAAAAAAAAAAAACGAAAACACACTACAACTTTAGACCCACACAAAATACTTTAGCCACAACTTTCAAATTTGATGTAATTATTTATTTGTGGGTGTGTAGAGGGGGGACGAAGCGGGGGAGGGGTGTGGTTCTGATTTGAGGCTCCAAAACCAGAAAGGATATAGTGATCTGGTGTGAAGACATGCATTGCAATATATGGCAAGCGGTTCCAATCAGCCAACCTATAAGTTATATGAGGCCATTATGGCGAGAAGAATTCGTGAACATATTATGTTCTTACAATTATCTATTTTAACTTCATGTCCACAGGACTGCTACAGTCTGTAATTTGAACATCATTTCCCTTGCCCCCTTTTTCAATTTTTTTTTTTGGGGATTTAATACAATTTCCCTTACTTGCTAGGCCTTGAATATATTTCCTTCCTTTACCTTATCATTGTAGTTTTTTATTCATGCTAATCGCAGATACTTGGTATGTCACCATAATGATCTGTCTCATTATCTATAGGTTTATAAATTCCCGAGTTCCATTGACACGATTTGTATTTTCAGTTGCAGTTTAGTGTAATTGTATGTAACTTGAATTTATGGTGTTTTAACTTTATAGGTGAATGGATGTGAATTCGTGTTCATATCTCTATTGGCCTTTGAAAATGACTTCAGGTCTCTCTCTCTCTCTCTACTCATTTCTGGCCACATGTAATTCTATATTTATATGCCATCAAGCTGTAATTTCTATGCAATGTCAAATGCTGTGGAATTCCTAAATAGAGTCTATGACTTGATCTCTCCCTCAAACACTCGCATCCACAAACATGCACTGATGTATTGCTATGCCCTCAAGTTGTAATTTCACAATGCCATGCAAATACCGCAGTATTTCTAAATAAAATCTATGGTTTGCTTTAGGATTCCGGAGGCTTTGCCTTGTCTTCATGATACACTCCTAGCAGCTGCTGCTGATTCTGCTTTTAGTTTTTCTCAAGATCAAAAGAAAAAACAGGTTGGAGTATGTGTGATTTTAAGCTTCCAATTTCTTCGTTTTCATGAACAATTAAGGATTTGTTCTGTCTTCTGTAGCCACAGGGTACTGGCCCTGGAATTTTTGGTGGTATCATTAAGGGCCTCAAAGGTGGCAAAGCAGATCGTTATGGGGATCTTTCTGAAGCTCAAAAAACTGCACATTTAGAGAAAATATTTTCAAGGTTCCCATTCTCTGACCTGTCTGCTAGCATGGAAGATGACCAAGAAGAAGTGGAAGTTAACATAGGTTTGTTATATCTTCCTTCAATCTTCCTCCTCTTGCCTACTGCTTTCCCTCCTTGACCGTGTTTACCTGTTTAAATACAGATGACATTCAAATTGATGAACCTCTACCTGCCGTATCATCTTCTTCTCATAAGAGCAAGAATGACAAGAGAGGTAGATAGATTATAAGTTTCTGAATTCTTATAGTTGTATTTTAAACTTTCAATAGGATTAACAATTTCATTTTGCTGTGTAGATGAGGAAACGAAGAGGGAAAAATTGTTTGAAGGTGGTACCGAGGATGCAAAACCAAAACTTAGAACACCCGAAGAAATTATGGCTAAATATAGAAGCCCTGAGGTAATTTCATTTGAAAACGGTCAGTAATTTCTTAATTACAGGGATCATATTGTCTGACATGGCCCTCTTTCCAGGATGCCAATGCAGCAGCTGCACGTGCAAGAGATAGGCTTGTAGAACGCCAGGAGAAGCTTGAGGTAAACAAACTTATCCTCACAAGTGTCTTTAAGAAAAAAAATTTATTTTCTTTTCCTGTATTCGGATGTTGGTTTGAGGTAGACAAACTTATCCTCAAGTTTGTTGAGTTGAAAATTAACTTGGCACAACCATTGTGCAAGTTTATGCTCGGCTCAAGTAGATGGGAAGATTGGTGTAAACCGTGGAAAACAAACATTAACAGTTAAAGAGCCCCATCTTCAAAAAACCATTAGTTAGTAGTGTAGGCCATAAAGCATCTTATCATATAATATTTGCCGATAGATTAATTATATTCTCTGGAGTTTAGACTCAAATAATGCCACAAGATTATTATTGTTATTCTTTGATTGTCAAGGGAAGAATAACATATAGTTTGTCCCCTTTTTCTTGAATCAATTGCTTCACTGCCTGCCTGAACTTCAGTTTAATTGAAAGTACTAAAAGGTTTTTTTCCGTTCTTTTGCGTCATAAACATCTATTATGCATAAAGACCTTCTCAGTAGTTGACTACTCGATTCCCACTGAGCATTTTTATTTGCTGCATCTACAGAAACTAAGCAGACGAACTGAAGAGCTACAAGATGGTGCAGAGAACTTTGCCTCAATGGCAAATGAACTTGCCAGGCAAATGAAAAATCGTAAATGGTGGAACATATGACTAGAAATGTGAGTTTCAATTGGTTGGATTTGTTGATATACCCTCTTGGTCCTGTTTGGATGCGGACGAGCCCTTCCAGTAGTCGCTTCTCTTTGGATTAAGGAGTCTATAAAGCATTTGATGTAGCAATACATAATTAGTCGCTTCGCTTTTGGATTAAGGGTTCTACAAAGCAATTGATGCAGCAATACATACACAATTAACTTCGGATTATATGGGTTCTACAAAGCATTTGGTGCTGCAAAATACGCACACATTTTGATGGTTTCGTAATTAGATAGGTATTAATTTGTCCGGCCAAGGCGATGTAAATCCTTATCAGTCAACACAACTGGTTCAAAATTTTCACAGAAAGCTTTTAGTAGATAGAATTGTTTGAGCACGTTTGTATCAATTTATCAACAAATTCTATATATGAAATGGAATCCCCCTTTTTGGTTTTCTTATTGTGCTTGTTCTTGTTCCAGCCCCGAAAAATGTATTAATCAGACAGCTCAAAAATTGACTAATAAAACGTTGTTTGTTTGTTTTTTTTATCTAACTTGATTTTTTTGGGATAAGTTGAGTCCATGTAGAGGCATTTAATGGTCATATCGACGCAGACATGTTGAGATGTAACATTTTTTGTCCGATTATTAGAAAATCTGATGCGTTGTATTATTGTCAAAAGGAAGATTTTTTTGTTTTGGTCGGGTCAGAGTGTTAATTTTCCCGTGACTGGGTTTTGGTAAAATTTATTCTCGAGTTTTGATATCCAAGTGGTATTAGTTAAAAACAAAATAATAATTAAATAATTAGTTCTTGTGGAGTTAAACTATACTGTATTAGAAAAACAATAATTCACTGCTCCGCCCATGGACTTGGGATTTATCAACAACCACAAGCAACATAAGAAAAATTGACTAAAACAGAAAATCTTCCGCATCAAGTTGTGGAATTGACTTGAAGGGGGCTTTTGACTGCGTTGCGGTGAACAATATGCAATAACTTTAACAATTTATTAAAAAAAAAAAAAAAAAGAAAAAAAAACAAAGGACAAATTCCAAGTTGTGTGTGTTTTCGAGTCTCTTAAGAGTTATTTGGTGTGGTTGAATGAAATAAAATGAGAATGGAATGAATCAGAGAATGTAATGGGAATGAAATGATCATTCTCATTTCCATATTTGATTGCATAGAAAAAAAACATTCTATTTTTGTAAAATATATATAAATATGTAGCCGACATTTCATTAAATGTTTTTTTTATTCATTCATTTATTATTATTATTTTTAAAGTGGGGAGTAAATCATCTCCAAGTAAGTTACTAAATTAAAAAATAAAAACAAAAGCATTCCATTTCCATTTCATTTGATTCCATTCACTCACACCAAACATGACCAAGAGTAATAGAGTTTTCTTTTCACTAATTTAACCATCATTATGTTGCAAATTGAGTTTGAAATGGAGCAGATTTGACCTTCAACCCAATTCAATTCAATTTGAAATTTATTTTTAACCTGTTTGGATTATAATTTGGGTGAACTGTATTAAATTCTCATTTTTCATTTACGTTTTTTACAATAAACGCTATATATATATATATATATATTTTTTTTTACCAAAAAAATTCTTTCGGTGTCTTAACTACCGACATTAATTGAAATGGAAATAAAGTAAAAATTAATTAAAATCTTTCTATCTTCAAAATTATCTACTAATAATTTCCCACGCAAAGCGCGTTAACGTAGTGACAACCTTTGACCCGAACCAAACTATGGAAATTGACATCATGGTACGGCCTTTTCAGTTGCGTTATTGGAAGAAAGACACGAATGACTCGGTCGATCTGGTCGGTGTTGCCAACTCTGACTGACCAACCACGTAGGATGACTTTCTCATTGGAAATGTATATTTGGTCCAAAATCCAAATGGAGGAGTAAAACATTTTAACACGCGTCAATAAACTCCACTCACACATAAAATTAGGCCCGCTGCCTTTTCCAATAATAATAAAATAAGTTGGGCCCGCCATGGTCCTGAAAGTTATAGTTTTCAAAATGGGATACTATTTGAGGGTTTAGCTCAATTTTTTAAATATAATTTTCAATTATTCAAAAAGTAAAATATTATTTTTACAAAATTATAAAAAGCAGTTATTTGAATTTTTTTTTTTTTTTTCACTGAATTTTTAAAAAACAGTCATCAGTCACCAAACAAGTTTCTATACAAGTAGTGATTAATTCATTCTTTGACTCAAAATTTAAAGAGTTTGTTTTAATTAGCATCATTTGGTTGAGTCTTCCTACAGTCGTTTATTCATTTTGTTAGAATAAAAACAATATATTTGTTAATATGGCTGGATTTCCTCTTCATGCAAAGAAATTATTTGGGCAGATAAAAGTATAGTATTTGATAAAAAAATCATATTTTGTGTTATTTATGTTAATCCGAATTGTGTTGCAAACTAAAAATATAAGTGAAATTTTCAATTTTGATAATAGTTGAATGTTTGGAATCATATACTTCCATGTTTTTTTTTTTTTTTTTCTTTTCCTACAAAGGTTTTGCTTTTGGTATTTTCCGTTGCTAAAAAATTTCTAGAAGAAAAATAAAATAATTGTTTGCTACATTTTTTGGTTTTTTACCAACAGATATTATATCTATTTATGGTCCCATATCTATTACTATAAATAACACACTAAAATCACGTTGTACACTTGTGCTTGCACAACAAAGAGATTTCAAAGTGGAGTAGAAAGAGATTTAACCCAACAAAAACGTGGAGGAGAAAGAGAGAGATCCTTGTGTGTGTAACACTGTGTGTATTTAATGAGTACTGTATAAGAGAGAGGGCGAAGGCAGGTAGAGAAAGAAGACAACCGACCACAACCGCAACTTGGATTTTGTTGCTGGAAGTGGTAGAGAGAAGCCCTCGTGTTATCTTCACATCCATTTCCATATTGCTGTTATATATATATATATATATATATATATATATATTGTGTGTGTATAGGCTTCTATTCAAGTACTTAACTCTCTCTCTCTCTCTAGACAGAGACCCAGAGCTTAAACCTTTGGTGTTCTCTCTTCATCTGGGTCTCAAATGGCGAGTTGGGTCTTATCAGAATGTGGTATAAGACCCCTCCAACGAATCTACCCTCGACCCAGAACAGGACTAACCTCGATCAATTCAATCCCCTCCAAGATCAGAGTCTCACACGCAGATCTCATTGCTGCTTCTTCATCCCGGGTGTCGAGTGGGTCTAGAGAGAGAAACTGGGCACTAAAGGTAAGCACCCCTCTGAGTTTCCAAACAGTGGAAGAAGAGAAAAGAGAAAGAGAGAGCATCAATGGGGTTGAAGAAGGCGGCGAATTTGACCCTGGTATGCCTCCTCCGTTCAAATTGGCCGAAATTCGAGCGGCGATTCCGAAACATTGCTGGGTAAAGGACCCATGGAGATCTATGAGCTATGTGGTGAGAGATGTGGTGGTGGTTTTTGGATTGGCGGCTGTGGCAGCTTATTTCAACAACTGGGTTGTTTGGCCTCTTTACTGGTTGGCTCAGGGGACCATGTTCTGGGCTCTGTTTGTTCTTGGCCATGATTGGTAAATTCATCATCTTTTTTTTCACATAATTATGATTTTTATGTAGTTAGTTCTTGTGTTTCATTATTGAATTTTGGTTGATTTCAATTTTGGGGTTTTAATGTGAAATGTGGTTGTTGTTAATTTTGTAGTGGTCATGGAAGCTTTTCAAACAATCCCAAATTGAATAGTGTGGTGGGTCATTTGCTTCATTCTTCAATCCTTGTCCCCTACCATGGATGGTTAGTTCCTACACACTCTGTTCAATGACTTCAATTCCCACACACACACACACACACACACACACATATGATATTTGTCACGATTACATTTGTTTTATGAAATTCTACAGGAGAATTAGCCATAGAACTCATCATCAGAACCACGGACACGTTGAGAACGATGAATCATGGCACCCGGTTAGTTCTGTTTTTAAGCTCTATTGAGCAATTTGATGGTTGTTCTCTATTTAATCATGGACAAATATTGATAATGCTTGTTTGAATTTCAGTTGTCTGAGAAGATTTACAATAGTTTGGATAACATTACAAAGAAATTGAGGTTCACATTGCCTTTTCCCATGCTTGCATATCCTATTTATCTGGTGAGCTTTACTTTTAGTCTTGGTTAATGTAATCAATTTGCATATTTGTGAATTGGAGTCTTGTGTTTCTTATAGTTTTTGTGCTGCTTGTTCATATTTAACTCACAGTGGGGTCGAAGTCCCGGAAAGACAGGCTCTCATTTTCACCCAAACAGCGATTTGTTTGTCCCGAGTGAAAGGAAAGATGTGATCACTTCCACGGTGTGTTGGAGCGCCATGGCTGCGCTGCTTGTATGCTTAAACTTTGTGATGGGTCCAATTCAAATGCTTAAACTCTATGGCATACCCTACTGGGTCAGTGCAGTTTCTTCATATCTTGTTGCATTCTCTTATCATCGTAAATAGTTTCCTCTAGTTGTTTACATCTGATTTTCGACATGTTTCCGTCTTGAATTCGCTGTCAATGCAGATTTTTGTTGCGTGGCTGGATTTAGTGACTTACTTGCATCACCATGGCCATGAGGAGAAACTTCCTTGGTATCGCGGAGAGGTATGGGTGCGATTTACATTTATTGAGGTTTTTGCCTTCGATTTCATATCAGCATATTATCGCGTTGAAGGGAAATGCTGTGTGAAAAATCTGGTTTTTATCTTCCATGAACTCATGCTTGAGCTGCAACAAAGAACTCATTAGTCCATAGAAGGGCGAAAATTTGATGTTTTGTCTATTAGAGTTGGTGAATGGGGTTAATGTTTATGGCATGTTCTCTTGACAGCAGGGGACGGCTGTGATTGCATACATGTGTGGAGGAATCACACGTGTGAGCGATCACAACCATCCCTTACTGTATAACACCGTGTTGTTACACCAGAGGATCCATGCTCATTGTCTTGAAAGCTGATTTTCCCTTTCTCCCTGTACAGGAATGGAGTTATCTGAGAGGAGGGCTGACGACGCTTGATCGGGACTATGGTTGGATCAACAACATTCACCATGACATTGGTACCCATGTGATACATCATCTCTTCCCTCAAATCCCACACTATCATTTGATAGAAGCAGTGAGTAATCTGATCTCTTTGAGCATAACTGATTGACTTCTCATCCCCCATGTTTGATTGGGTCCTAATGGTTGACACAATTGACATTACAGACACAGGCTGCAAAGCCAGTGCTTGGGAAGTACTACAAGGAGCCGAAGAAATCATGGCCTCTTCCATTTCATCTGTTGGGAGTCCTTATAAGAAGCATGAAACAGGATCACTACGTGAGCGACACCGGGGACGTTGTATATTATCAAACAGACAAACAGCTCTATGCTTCTCCAAATTCAGAATGAAGGGGAAACTGACTCTTTATAACCAATTTATTTCGACTTTCGACAAAATTATAAGAGTTTCTGTAGAATATGGAGATGGAGATGTTATTTGCATAAATGAGTTCAATGACAATTTGTAATGCCAATTACTATCACATTTTGAGGATTACTATTCCTCATAAAAAAATCAATAATGGATGGACTTAACCGCGTTCATGAATGATGTAATCTTCGACTTATCCTTTCGAATGCCGTCTGAAGCACAAATTCCACTACTAACATCAATTCCATGTGGTCCAAGAGTAGTAAGAGCTTCACACGCATTCTCAGGGTAGATTCCTCCTGCCAAGAACCATCCATGCTTGCTTTTAATCGGTGGTAGTTTAAACTGGGACCAGTTGAATCCTTCACCACTGCAGGTATATGACACAATTAGTGAATACTGCATATGACGGAAACAAAAATCAAGCCATGAATGTAAAATCCTTTAATAAATGAAGATCACTGTGGCATTATATATATGTTTGGTGACCGAATGAGAATGTACTGCAAGTCGCAACATTCTGAGCTATATAATCCACGAACACCAACATGAAAATCATTAGAACCAAGAACGACTATATTTGTAGCGAGTTCCAACTCCACTAGCTTAATTCGAGTCATACCTACAAACTGTCAGTTGCGTAGATGATTTTTTATTCTTGCTTAGCGAACCATCAGGGTAAAACAACTAACACATTTGAGAATGCAAAACTCAGGACTCGTTAAAGAATGGAACAATGTCAGCAACCAAAGGAACCAACCAGTTTTGTCAATCGCAAATATATCCGCTATTTGTCAATCTCATGCAAATAAACAGAGTATATTGAATATAAGAACAAAGAAAGAAGGAGAAGACGGTATTCTCAACATTAAACATTAGGACTAATCAGTGGATTAATCCTTCTTCAGTGCTAAATTTCTAGGAATTCTTCTGTTCCATATAAACATATTACTATTCAATTCCAGAATGATTATCTTACAATTAGAATTTTTTGTGCTCAAAGAACATCATATTTAACTTTCAAGATTCATTAGTCTAATCTCATGATCATGAGCAAGAGCCCGCCATATGTCTAAAACTGAAAAAAGTTATATTTTTAATTTATAGATATATCCAAGATGTGTCAGACACATGCTCGAGTTTTGAAGTGTCTGATACACGTATGACTCTGAATTTATGACTCAAGTGTCAGTATTTCTTAGTTTTTTACCTGCCACCCTTCGCACTATCCACTAGAATATAATCAACAAGAGAACATTCTTCATCAGAAATATGGTTCAGAAGGTCTCCATCTTTGTTGGCATGAAGAACATAAATTACTCGGTTTTCTTGCACAAGAATCGGAAAAGCAGCCCGAGAACCATCTCCATGAAGCTGCAGAATTTCAACACGTTATGAGCAGAAGGAAATGCATCAAGCTATATGCGAGCTAAACAAGGTTAAGCATAAACTTACCTGCACAAGTGCAAGGTCAGCTGCATCAGAAGCTCTTAATATTGTGTCGGTGTTATCATCCACAAATACACCAACAGGTTCCGCCCCATATGCCCGTGCAACTTTTGAAATTTCCTTTGCAACAGGAAGTGAAATAGAACGTTTTGAGTTAGGCCAAAGAATCATCCCAATAAAATTAGCACCAGCTTCTGCTGCTAGAGCAGCATCTTCAGGTGATGTAATTCCACACATTTTAACTAAAGGGTGGTTCTCTTCACGTTCGTCACGAGCAAGGAGAACTTCTCTCGACTGAGGGGTCATGCATATTCTTGTATTCTTCGATAACGACCTGATCACTGACAAATGTGTTTCTCTACGTTGTAGGCCTGCAAATATATGGAACATGTTATATTCATTTTACAATATGTTCAACAAAAATTGAACAGCAAATACTAAGAACGGCTTATATTGTCTAAGTAATACAAAACGCAATTGGAGAAATGCACTTGACTTTCCACAAATAATATATGCTTGTGCATATGCAGCTTGTTTGTGGTAATAATTGAAGCAATCTTAGGACGCTAGGAGCTGAATTTGGGAGAATTCCTAGGTTCAAGAATTGGGTTGTTTGTGCTTTGTAACAACAAACCAAAATTTCAATTTTGCGAATATAAATATATTTTAAAACCATATACATTCCAATAGAAGTTTTGGTGACCGTAAAATTTGCCATAATATTATTATGATGGATCATTGAGATCCAATTATCCAGTCAATTATATAACAATTTAACTCGACAGAAGAGACATTATCACGATATTAAAAAATAAAATATACCAGTGATCTGCCTTCTTTGAACGTTTACAGCTTTGGGTAGAAGGTGACTTCCCACGCCTAGCCATGAAGGAGGGGATAACGATGACATATATATTTTACAAATTGCACCTTTAAGACAACAATAATAAACAAAAAAATGTTAGTACATTGTGTTACAAGTATCACATTCGAATAGCTAAATTTAATAATAATAAAAAATAAAATAAATCAGAGCTAAAAGATTAATGGGATCCGAAAGCAACTGCTTGAAGGGACATTTTATCGAGCACTTAAACTGCAACTGCTCAAACGCACACATAAATTCATTTTACTTGCAAACTTATATGTGATACTGCAAATAAAAATTCTAGTTATGAATATTTTCCTCTTATGCTATAAATAAAAAATATTCAGATGAAATGTGTTGTGTGGATTTTATTTTGGTAGAAGCAATTTTATTGAAATTGCAGAATCGATAACTTCCACTTGGAACCCTAATTCGAAATCGCGAAGGCTCCTTGTATTCAAGCTTTGTTTCTCAGCGTTAAAGAATAAACGCACCTTTGATGGAAATCAGTACTCCATTGCTGCTGTTAAAAGGCTGATATATGACGACGTGAGATGTTCTCTGAAATTTCGTAACTGCTCTATGGAGTTTGCCCCACCCATGTATTTAACGGCTGCCTTTATTTGGACGGGTTTGGAAATTAATAATAAATAAATATTTTTTTATTAGTCATAATTTTTTTTTATTATATAATTTTAAATTTTAACAATATTTTTGTTATTATAATTATTGTATAATACTTTTTCTATCCCATATTAAAAATTCATTTTAAAAATTCTGACTCACAATTTTGTATCTACATCAATCTTAACTTATGCCGACGTATAGGGGCCATGGCCCCACAATTTTTTTTCAAAATTTTATTAGTAGTAATAACTAGTTATTATAGAAATTATGCATATAAAAGTTACGGCTCGACATAACTATTTTCCATTTTAGAATAGTTTTTATGTGAGAAGAATTTTTATGTCTGTTTGGAAAAATAAATTATTATTGAAACTCTTCTTTTACTAAAATAACTATTTTACCTTTAGATGGACTAACAATTATATTTTAAGCACCATATAAATAAATCATTCAATTTCTTCGTTGGATACATAATCTTTATTTTCCTTTTATCTTTTTTCCCCCTCATTTGCCATCTAATTTAAAATAAAAAATGAATAATTATTAAGTGGTAAATACCTAGTAAATGCAATGAATCACAAAAAATTAATGTTGGCCACCCAAATTTTGTTTAAAACTCTATTAGTTGTAATTATTTATAATTATTAATGGTGATTTTTATAGGAATATTAAAGCTAGCCTTTCAAAATTTTAAAAAAATTCCCATTTATAATTTACCTGTCTATGGTAATTAAAGGTGGTTTGCCACTACAATATTTTATTTACTCTCTATATGTGTATATAAATTATTTGTTATGATTTTAAAGTGGAAAGAAAATTAATATTGGATAATTGACAACAATGTCATTTATTGGCATTTAATAATTTTTTTTCTATTTGTTTTGATATAATTTATAGATTTGCTTTTAAAATTGTACATTAAAAATGGACGAAAACTTACAATTGGTAACTCACAAGTCTAATTAAATCGAAATCTTTGTGGCCTCCAGTCAAGGGCAGAGTCAGAAATCTCAGGGGTGTCTATTTTACGGTAAACATAAATTTCTAAATAAAGTGAATCATCATCTTTGAAATTAAACTGTATTATCCTCACCAACTTGAAATCTTCACTGAAAAAATCATACCCAGTTGATTGGATTAAAACGAACAGAGCAAGTCGATCACTTCAGAATTTTTCTTGACCAGAACCTCCACAAACCCGAGTGAGAATGCCTCCAAATGCCTCTCTCACGAGTTAGAGCGATTGATTGGATCGCAAACACCTATGCCTTTCTCTCGATATCTCGTCGGCAAATCTTTGTAGTGCGTTGAATATTACGAATGTTGATCTGAATATGTAGTGTTGGTAAGTGAATAATTAAATGAGGTGATTTAATCTTCACTGTTGGATAGGGAATTTTTTTTTTCTTAGTGTTGGTAAGTGAATAGTTTTGGAGAAGGCAGGAGAGAGATCTCTAGGGAGGATTCAAATCCCAAACCAAACTCAGCCAAGCACATTGTCATGCTTCGTCAAAGGAAGTAGAAGGACTTAGCAGAATACGGTTCTAAAGTGTTTCAAGAGTTAGTGTAGAAAATTGCGATATATTGAAAGATTCTAGATTTTTTTTTTTTTTTTTTTTTCGGTTAAGCAAATACACATGTTTTTATGGAAGCTCAAACATTCAAGGGGAGGGCTTGTATCAGGGCAAGATTCTAAATAGCTGAAATAGTGTATAAAATAAACAACATTCTAGAGAAATAGGGTGTAATGTAGAAATGTAAATAGGCAAGATTCTAAATAGCTGAAATAGTGTATAAAATAAACAACATTCCAGAGAAATAGAGTGTAATGTAGAAATGTAAATATGATTGCTTTAGAGAGAAATCCTAACAATTGATTGTTAATTATCACACTGTTCATTAGGTGGAGAATGTCTTTAAATGGGCAGCAGCCTCATTTTTTTAAAGTAGTCCAGAGTAAAATACTAGAAATCTTATTGCATGTTTATAGAACCACAAATATAATTGTATCAAGGAAAAGAAAAGATGATGAATGGTAGCAAACATACAACAAATAATAGTTAATTAACACAATTATATTTTTTGAATTGGGAATTTTATCCAACAATATAAAGGAGGTCATACAACAGGTCTGCCCTTGTTCCAGTACTTTCTATATCACTCTTCTTTTTCTTCGAATAGGTTCATATTTTCAGTCCGCCTTAAAATTGCATTTCCCGTGTTAATGAGGTAGATAAATGAAAATATGATATGTGATTTTAGATCTGACATGAGGGATTTATGTGAGAAGGGTAACACCAACTTCAATTATGAGTCCTATAATTTTAAATTCAAGATTCATGTTTGTTTTTTTTTTTTTTTTTTTTTTTTTTTTCAACCTCAAGAAATTTTTTTTAATTGATGGGTGTAAGATTGACCATATTGAAATTATATAAGTTATGTTAGGAATACTTGGTGTTAAAATATATATATATATATATATGTTATAGGATTAATTACGTTGACACCCTTTACGTTTGGTTAAAAATCACAATTAAATATCTTTTGAAAATAACTATAACTCATATTACAAGCGTTTAATTTGTTTTTCATTTACACTTTAAAAGTTACTTTTCACATCTGTCAGACCACTTTTATATGTAAAAAAAACATTGCTAAGACCATCTCCAATGCAAAAAGCTATTTTTGCATGCCAAAACTATATTCTGAGAGGTGCTACAGTGTCAAAATGATATATTTTAACAATTCTACTCCAATGGTGCATTTTATCCAAAATGCTATTTTTTGACACAACTTCCATATTTTTTTTCAACTACCATTCCCAACTACCATTTTCAACTTCCTTCTTTGTAAGTGTTTGTATTTTATTTAACTTGTTTGCCTCCTCCTCCATTTTTTTTTTTTAACAGTAGCAGATGCAAGGTGTAGATAACTAGATTCATCCAAAATGAAAATGAAAATAGAGGATTCCTGAGTTGGGATAGGGATTGGGGTCAGGATTTGAGTGTTGTGGGGGTTCGAGGATGTGCTCTGCGGAAATTGAAATTCAAGGGAGACTTAGGTGCAACTGGAAACGTCAATTCACCAACCACAACGCATAAACAAATACTTTGAAACCAACAAAATAGCAACTTCATAAAGAAGTTTACTATAACTGAAAAAATATATATATATTTTCCAAAAATCCTATTTTAAACTTAGACATATGACTGTAAGTGATTCTGCAGAAAAGGAAAAAAGAAAAAAAAATGCCAAGACTCTCTGCAAATGCTGCTCTCCCAAATTTTTTGCCATTCAGAGAGGGGGTGGAGAGGGAGGTGGGGATAGGGGGTTTAATATAGAAACTAATTGACATTTAATACCTCTCAACTCAGCTGCACACTTGACATATCCTTTGTTCAACAGATACAGTAGTGAAGTGGATCTTGAGTATTTGGCACAACATAGTCAGTTGCAGTCTAAAATGACCAAAGTTTATTAACAATATGCATTCAGTTCTAAACCTTAACTGCACTCACCAGCATCAAGCAATACAATGCTCCAACACATCATAAAGAATTTGGCTTGGATGGAATGAAATTAAAAAAGAGATTCACACAAGTAACAAAGCAGGGTAGTCATGCATAAATAAAGTAAAAGACTTTATTTAGTTTGCAAATTACTTAATTTCTTAAGAATTTTTTTTCCAATAAGTTAAATTGACCAGATGTAAGGCTTCAAGCATTCAACAAAGCATCAAAATCAACCCTAACTCCTATGACGGACCCACTGGGTACTCAATGACAAATTTCAAATTTTAAAATAAAAAAAAGTACGAAGAAGTGTATGTAACTATGTGTGTGTGTGTGTATATATATACTATGTACATATATAAATCGATATCTAATTAATTGATCATTTAAGATTAACCCAATTGAGAAAATTGTTTTATGAGAAATGGGTGTTGGTTATATATGTGAGTAGGTTTATGTAAATGAGTTTTGCATAGATTAAGATAAATATACCGGGATCAGATTAGGCGCCTGCGGTGGGAAAGTGGTGCACCAGAGCCGCAATCACCTGCCGAGAGAGGCGAAGAGGAGAGAATGATTTGGCGAATGCTATTTCTTGTACTACATTTGGCACCAGATTTGGAAAAAATTAAAAATTGACAGTTCATTGGAGAGTCCATTTTAAGCCCACCTGCTATATTTTGAAAATGGCAACCCATATAGCACACCATTGGAGTTGCTCTGACTAGTTGACTTTAATTTAATTGACTAAAGTGTTTTTTAAAGATTAAAGTGACATTTTTACCCTCATTTGGATGATTGAGAATGCTGACATCTTTAAAGCTTAGGTCCATTTTTACTAGCCCAGAACCATACATGATCAAAATGAAAACTTAGGTCCATTTTTACTATTCTTTGATGATTGAGAATGCTGACATCTTTGAAGCTTCTCACCTTGCAAACAAACTGCAAAAGGCAATAAATAATATGCAAATTTTGGAGTAGCTCTCATGTTATTATACTCATAAACTAATTCCTTTTCTTAATAACTAGCTTTTCAACTGCCTGTAATTATCTTTCCGCAAAGCTTTTTGGCTTTGTTTTCCTCTTTTTAATACAACTTACCATTCACCGAAAAAAAATGTTACTTGCTGCATATTAACCATTAAAATTAATAATTTCCAAGAGATAAATATCTTAGAGAGCAACATTAATTCATCATTTATTGGAAAATTTCTTTGCGGTCAATTTTACATATGATCAGTCATTAATCGTAGCAACTGAGACATGTTTAGGTGGTGGTAGGAGTAATAAGAAGGGGTATAATGGTCATTTAAAAAACTCGATATTTTGGAATAAATGAGATTAAAAAATTAGAGACAAAGTTATCTTTTTCCATGATTTTAACAGAGACCAAGAAAAAGTAAAAATATACCTATTATTTTTAAAAGAGAGTGTTATATTTAATCAAATTTGAGAGTGTCAGTTAAATTAATCATATTTTATAATATCTAAATATTGAAAAGATCTGGTCAGCTCGACATACCACCTATGCCCGAAGTGCTCAAGGGATTTTACACCCAAAAAATTGATCAAAATTTTAGAAAGGGTGTGTCAACTTCACATTGTAAAACATTGTCTATTTTAATCTATTATTAATAGAAAAATGAGTTCATGCCTTCCACATTTATTTGTAGTCTGATATAAATGATAAAGATATATGATATAAAAACTTAGATTTATAAAAGATAATTTTAACATAAAATTATTGAAAGGTGTAAGATGATCCTACACATATAAACCACCTCAAAGAGTTGAGGTTGAATATGGAATAAATGGGCTTGTGTTGATTCTAGTTAATTGCAAAATAAACAAAAATGTGATAATAACTATGAAATTAACAAGATTAACTTGCCCTTCAAAAAAAAAAAAAAAAAAAAAAAAAAAAATTCTATGAAACAAGATTTTGTTGGGTTGAGTTTAGTGCAATAATGTACTTCATGTTGGATAGCAATGCGAACAACTCTGTAATCTTCATGCTATAACCCATTGAATATGGAGTCTGTGGTAGCAATTTTGAGGATAAATCATGCAAAGCCATTTTTGACCCAATTGTATCATAATCATTGTCCATTGAAATTGTACATCTTTTGTAGTTATTTATAAAAGAACACCTGGAAGAAGAAAAAGCAACAAAATTATTCTGGGTTGGGTTGTCACCATTAGTGCTGTATACTTTGTTTTTTCGATAAGCCATGAGTGCATATTCTTGACAACAAGAAGATGATGGAGGATGAATTTATAATATTTGTCTGGCTGAGAATTAAACTCGTGGGCGGCTGGGTACAACTCATGCTTGGAAGACTTTATGGGCGTGAATCAATAATAGGACCCACACGTCAAAAGAGGTCTAAACACCCAAAAAAAAATAAAAATAAATAAATAAATTGTTGGTATCTTTGGGCAAGGTTCCTGTTATATATATATATATATATATATATATATATATATATATATTTTATCTTTATGTTCTAAAATAAGTGTCATATTTTTTTTTTTTTAATTTATTTCAAAATAATAGTTCACTTTCTTTTTTTAAATAAAACATTTCACATATTTTTATATATGTCCTGTGAATTTAAAATTTTAAACTTAAATATTCAAAACTTAAAAAAGAGTAAGTTAGGACGGATAGAGTATATTTTTGTTAGGTAAGCACTAAGTAACCACACACATTTTACAAATTGTTCCCTTAGCTTAAGTAGTCACACATATTTTACAAATTATTTCTTTACAGGCACTCAGTCACGATTGGACTGTAAACTCTTAGGGCTCAGTAAAGCTTGAACCCCATTTCTACATACCCTCAAGAGTAAGATTGCGCCTCTTATTACGAGCAAGCTGGTACACATACTTATAGAGCTAGTCGATTAGGTATGTTACCCAGGACTCCAAATCCTCACCACCAATTTGAGAAATGAGGGGATTACATATAATTTATTTATTTATTTTTTCTTAGATGACATTCACACGTACATGTATTCATGGAGGTTTAAACTCTTAACTTTTTTTTGGAAGGTAAGAGCCTAATACTGCTAGACTACTAACCCATTCTTGATTATATATCATTGTTTAAATGATTTTCCAATAAATATTTTTTGATCAATTGTTTATGAAATAATCATTAGATGGGATGGGATTATAACAATTTTGTAATAATTTTACATCATGAATGTAACAACTACAAGAATATGTTAAATTCTCACTTTAATGATAATATCTTCAATGTAGATATATTGCATGCATTGTGATGTTGCACGCACAAAATTTCCTAAGCATACATATGTTTACATATGTTTTCTTTTTCCGTAGTTGGTTAGTAATTAGAGAAAGAGGAAAAGAGAAATCGAACTCCGGACTTACAAGGTGGGAACACTAAAGGCTTAACCTTTTACTGAGCACACCGCCACATCTGTACATAATGGAAGTTGACATAGACAATGATAATAACAACTAATGATTGGATAAGACACTTGATGAACAGAAGAGGTATTCAAATGGAGGTCCAGATCAATTTCCCATCATCCGTCACATTTCTTCCACACCTTTAAGATCATGTTTGGATAGCATTTCTTATAAATCCATTTTGGAGTTTTCCCATATAAGTCAAAGATCATGTTAGGAACTACACAATTATTGTCTTATCATTTTTGTGCAGAATTGGCTTTTTGGTCATCGAAGTCCAATTTTTGTGCTACTTAACGACTTATCAAATTTATGACAGTAGACCCCTCTAGAGAGTGGGCAAAACCGAAAACTGCATCCACTTGAAAAACTAAAACAATTTGACACGGACTAGCCTTTCCAAGCTCAAGTTCAAGCTCACATCAGCCTTAGACGCGTTCAAGCGCTCTCGAAGAAATTTCACCATGTAGACCTACTTCTCTAACCGATGTGGGTCGAAGGAGGGTTTTTTGAATCTTATCTATTGCATCGAAGGAGGGTTTTTTGTATCATATCTATTGCATTAAAGGAATAAAACCCCCTTTTAATATATGAGAAGGCATACACGCACAGAAACGAACAACTCTTATAGTAGCCCCATACCGAATATATTCTCCTGCCATACACAAATTGGCTTAAGAATCATTTTCAGAAAAAATAACTTGAAACTTTAATACCCAAGGTGGGTTACTACTATTACTTATTACTACAAAACATTATTATGCATTAGAATTCAGCCACGCACTTTAAGCTGCTCCCAAAACCAAAAATCATTTATAAAGGAGAATACAAGTATTCAGTGGAATACAACAAATAAAAAGAATTAAGGGTCTTCCCCATAATTTACATTTCTTCTTTCGAATTAAAGCGGGGTAAAACAATTCCCCAGAAGGATATGAAAACAAATATGTTAAATATAAAAAATTCCCACTTCTTTCTCCCATCTAATTCCATCTTCGTCATATTATTGCTACCAGAACTTCTCTTGATCTAACTGCTGCATTTTGTGGTCTATTTTCTTTTCTCATCTCTACTTCTACCTGCATATATCAATAACAATTCTAAGGAAGTAAAACTTGTTGGGATAGCTTTGGAGCATGGATATGGCAGTGAAGTTGCTTATGCCACCATCTGCTCCTGGTCTATGTACAACTGCTCCACCCATGGTGGGAGCATCTCGTGAGCGCCTCCGCGAGTCTGGTCTGAACGGTAAAGCCCGGCACCCACAGAGGACACATCTTTCACCAATGAGTTAACCCATGACACATCTGGCTCACCCGCTGTAGATGGAGCCATCCCAGTTCTTGTTGTTGCCGCATTACCACTTCGAAACCCAAAAGAGGCAGACTTCTTCAGCTTATTATGCTCTTCACCCTGAAATCCCCAGTCCAGTTTCCCATTAGGAGAGCTCCAATCAGAAAGACTGGATGATGTCAAACTTGCAGAATTAGCTGCTGCAGTAAGCCCGAGATGGTGGCTCACCGCTCCGCGGTCAATAAAGCTCTGGCTCCGCTTCGCGAAGGCATTAGACCTTGAATTCATGACTGCTGCTGCCACTGCCCCAGAAGAGTCGAACCCATATATGGAGGGCTTCCTCACTGGTGAGGACGAGACGTTACTGGGGTAGCTTGCCCGAAGTAAATTCATGTTCTGGCGCATCTGATTCGGAACCCCAGCTGAAGATTGCAACTGGGTGGTGGTTGAAACTTTTGGTGAGTTACCCTGCAATGGAGACAACAAGGATGGATCGAGAGATCCAAATACATCATCAAGGTTAGTAGGTTTCAAATCCCCCATCCGATTATATTCCTTATTCCAGTAGGATGGGGAAGAGAGACCAGACATCTCATCAATCAATTGCTGCTGATGTTGCTTTCCAAAGTGGAGATTGTCCAACTTAAGCAATTCAATTTCCAATTCCAAATCTCTGGCACTCAAAGCTGTCTTCAGCCTGCTGCCAGGGAGTTGCAACGCAGGTGGGGTGAGGTTCACCTTGTTGTTATGCCACATGTTTCCAGCCATGGGTGATGAACAGGCAGCAGAGGGAGACATTGGTGCTGATGAAGTCGAAGGCATCAACAAAGATGATGACCCGAGAGCCATGGGACTCAACGTTGCCATGTCCATCGCACTGGACGTGACTGACCTTGGAGAAGGCATAGCCGAGCCGGTGGAAGCATACAACGGCCTTAACTCTTCGGGCTTATGTGCAAAGAAACAGACCTTCCTCGAGCACCCGGTTTCATCCTTGCAAAGCCGGGTTCGGTACTGTGCAGGATGAAGCCAGCTCTCAAAGACACCATGGGCGTACTCACAGCCATCCCCCTTCACACAACTCCCCTTACGGAACTCCGGACATGGGACACAGCTGTAGCTATACTTCCTTGGATCACGCCTCCTGGCATTCTCCCCTGGGTGGACAAATGGGCACTCAGTCCAATCATGGGAGTATGCCCTTGAGCAAGGCTTCACCTTGAAACTATACATCCTGAACTCATCACTCCCATACATCCCATTGTTTATATCAGGCAAGGTTATATCAATAGGATACTCTTTCTTCTCAGTACCCTCTTTTGGTAATTGGGACATCGTGTTACCCTGCTGCTCTACCTCTTGGCTAGTGTTGTGATCAATTGCAACATTCCACAAAGATCCTTCCTCAACCGTATCACCGCCGTTCAACAACATCTCCATCATCTTCATCTTCGAATGACTCGAAGCCAAGTTCTTCAAATTAGTAGCAATCAAGTCCCCTGGCTTGTTTCCATTGGCATCCACAGAATTCACATCTGCAGATGCATCAAGCAAGAGCTTGATGACCTCAACCGAGGAGGTGGAGCCACCAGCAGCAGAGCAGTGGAGAGCGGTTGCCCCATCTGAACCACAAGCCCTGTTGACATCAACCTTGCCAGTTCCAATGATATACTTCAAAACCTCAGTGCTTCCGTACATGGAAGCAATCATGAGGGGTGTCCTCTCTTCAAACCCCATCTTCTTCGACCCAATTCTTCTACCATACCAAAAGCATAACTCCTCCACATCAAAACCCTTCTCTTCCACAGCCAATCTGAAGCCACCTAGATCATCCGAGGCGGATAATTCGAGTAAAATAGAGCTTTCAGAGAAAAACCCATCTTTCTGATTTGGAATTTCAGTCTTCATGACCAAATTATAGGGGCAAAGTTTACTCTTTGAACCACTACACATAGATACCCTGTTAAACAACAACAAAATTCATTAATATACACCTCCAAATTTAACCCTTAAAATCACAAAAAAGTACATACATACATTTATATAGAGTTTTAGAAGTATATTTTTCTTTAATTTGTTAAGCAAACCCAAATTGAATCTGAGCTAAAGGTCATGATACTTTTCAACAGTTCTAGAAGACTCGAATTGAAACAATATAATTCAGCTAAGAAAAAGTCTACTGTAAAAAATTTTCAAACTTCAGCTTAAATATAAACATAAAATAGATTTGGGTTTTTATGTATATCAAATATATTAGCAAAAAAATAAATACCCAAAACATATACTACTAATCATCAAATTATCACAAATTATACAACTCAAAGCTTAAACAACATCAAAATTAAGAAATGTTTCGTTCATGAAAGCATACCTTTAATAAGAGATTGAAATATGAATCTAGAGAGACCAAGTTTTGGACAGATCGAGTTGTGAAGGTATAGACAGTTGAGTCGAGAAGAGCTCGATTGAGCAAATGAGTTGAGTTTGTGATTATCAAAGGCTTGGGATTGGCTTTATACTGGTTTGAGAGGACACGAGCGAAGGAATTGAAGAAGGAAAGAGGAAAGTGAGACTTTTCTTCTTCCCTCTTTCGCTACGGTCAAAGTCTCTCTCACCTTTCAAACTGGGCCACACCCACACCTCTGCTATGTCTTACTGGTTCCCACACACAAATGAAATGCAAATCCAAATCCAAATCCAAATGCAGAATTTCACATGACCTACTTTTTCAGTACTACTTAATATCTAATCCGACCGGCTCGATGGGTTTGGTCACACAACGTATAGTTGGAAATTATCGTACACGTGTGCTGTAATTGGTTAATTATTGGAAGGCAGTGGTCCAAGAGTTACCGGTTACCGGCTACAACCGGTCTTACATAACGCGTTTCTCGTCTTGGTGGGCAACAGATGATATATGTGTGTGTATAATATATTGTTGCATCGTCAGCTTCCACTATGAAAATGAGTTTTGCTCGGATGACCATCACTGCAATATAATACTGTACAGCCATCCGCCACGTGGTGTTTGCTTGGATCTTAGCATTTTTCTTTCTTTCTTTCTTTCTTGCAATTGAAAGATATTGCAAGAAACATTTTATGTTCATTCATTTTGTGTGTGGCGTTCTTGATATAAATTGTGTTGCATTTGCCCTCTCAATATACAGAGTGTTGCGTCTCAATGCAAGGGGTTTTATATATGCATGAAAATTATATGGTTTTGATACACTAAATAGTACATGACCTCTTCTTTATTAGATGCAGGTGAAATTATTGCACGCTCCGTGACTATTATTCCAATGATTTTTTAGTTGACACAGAAGCCTTAATTTTGGAAACCAGATTCAGCCATGTCATCGCCTTATCTAATTTTATTACTTATTAATTTAGTTATATTAGAAATTTTAACTAGGAATTTAACACAATGATGAGGTGGTTAAGTCTGGACTGTAGAATTGAAGTCTACAAAGTTCAAAAAGAAAATTGGGGTCTGTTTGGTATTCAGGATATCTAAATTTCTGATCCCATGACTGTTAGTTCAATCATTCGTTAATGGCCACACAAGCCTTAAATTGGAGTGCAGATTCAGCGACGTCATCATTTTATTCAACTTTGTCACTTATAAATTTAGTTCTACTAAAAATTTCAGCATTTAACATGATGATGAGGTAGTTAAATCTGGACCGTAGAATTAAGGCTACAGAATCAGAAAAGATAACGGGGTCTGCTTGGCATTCTGGATATGTAAATTTCAATCTGAAGACGCGAGCTATTTTTATGTTACTATACTCTCTACGTAGAAGTGCAAGGTTGGGCTTTTGAAAGGTCATTCACGGCTCCATATAATTTTTTTAATGGGTTATATGTAGAAAACACCAATCTATTATACTTACACTGTATATCAAATTCCTTATGTGCACAAAAAACCCTCAAATATTAAAATGTGCAAATAAGTCCTACCTGACACATTAAAGTTAGAGTTTGACCAAATTGGATGAATAATAAATAAAACTAAAAATAATATAAGCTTGTGGATTGATATTTTTTTTAACGACCCAAACCCGTAGGTCCGAATCGTTAACTGGGTCCTTACCCGAACCTGAAGTCATTTATGTCAATCTATATCATGTCTAAGATCAACACATCGTACTTGCGTCATAAATAGACTTCAAGAGGGTCCTAGACAAATTTCCGAAGCTTAGGGTAGTTTTAAACCAAAAGAGAAAACAAGAATGCACAACAGCTCCATTTTGATCAACCGAAATAGAGTTTCGGTCGGCCGAAATGGCCTCTGACATGACCCCCGAAACGGTCAATCGAAACACCATTTCGGTCGGCCGGAAGTGAAAAGTCCCGAGAGCATGAAATGAATCGGTTGACCGAAATGGCTCTGATGAGCCCTGAGCCTGATGCTGAACAGCTGCACCTGTAGAAAAGAAGTTTTGTCGTGGTAGGAACTCGGAAAGTGATCTAAATCTATTTTAACAAGTTGTAAAATAACTTTCCATATTCCATTCAATAGAAATACAAGTTTTACATACCCAATATAACATCCTAATTTGATTTACAAGTGTTCGATAACATTAGCTATCATGAAATTACAAATACAATCACAAGCTAAAAAAATTACACTTGCTATACAAAGCTTTGCAAAATGGGATCTAATTAAAAAAGGTAGTCAAAATGGTCTTCTAATCCAAGCTACGTGTGATGTTTCTGATTTTTAGTATTTTTTTCAATTTTTCAGAAATTTTGTCGCCGCAAGGGTATTTCGGTCTTTTCACGTTTCGCGTATGGGTATTTTAGTTGAGTCCACTTACATTTCGTATATTTTATTTTATAAGATTTATGTGGCATTTGCTTGGTGGTGTATTACATGTATATTGGTAGTGAAAAATAAAAGTAAAGGAAAAAGGAAAAGTCAAAGGTTGGTGGTGGGACCCACCACCATTGTTTAAGTGGTCTAGAGACCACCTTTGCTCCTTCATTTTCCTCTCTCACTCCCGTAACTTCTTCCTCTCTCTCATTTCTCTTTTTTTTTTTTTTTTTTTTTTTTCTTTTCTTTTTAAAAAGTAAACTTTGAAGCTTGATTCTATTCTCATTTCTTAGTGATTTTGAGTGTCATTTGAGGCGAAACGGAGAGCACGACGAGTTCTACGCGTGAGTACCAACAATTTCAGATTTGGTAATTCCTTTGGTTCCGAAGATCTAGACCCATTTCGAGGGTTTTGCTCAAATTCGAGGTAGGGGCCCTTAATCCATGAAGTCTTGTGCTTTAGTGAGTTGACCTACTTGATTTGTGTCTTAGAATACTTAATTATGTTAATTATAGTTTAAATTGACTTGATTGAGATATGTGAACACGTGAGAATGTGTGTTAAATAGGTTGTATGAAAAGCATGCTTATATGTTGAGTTACTATGCCTACTATGTTGCTAACATGTTATAAATGATGTATGAGAACATGCTTAATTATGTTGTGATAAATTTCTTAGTGTCATTGTAATAAAAATATGAGACACATATGCACATCATTGGGTTTGCATGGAAGGAACCGTTTTGAATTGAAAAAAAAAAATGGGATTTTGGGAAAGAAGTTTGATTAAAGTGTTTTGTGAAAACCCGGTCGCCGCGGAGGTACTAAAGGGCCGGAAGGTTAATATAGCCTAAAGGGAATTAGGGAGATTGCCCTAGCGTAGTTGAGCTAGTTAGGCCCCATAATGACGCCACGGGGGTACCAAGGGTCAGGGACACTAGCCAATCCTTCTCTTGTGTCGCTGCGGGGTCACCGAAGGGCGAGTTATATTAACAGTTTACAAGTGATGGTTTTGATTGTGAAAACGGGGAGCGACATCGGCATGCATTGCATTCCCATTGCATTATGTTACTTATGTTAAGATTGATTATTATGTTGTGGTTTCCCTACATTGCCTGATCCTCATTCCCATTGTTCTATTCTATGTTTGGATTCACGGGGACACAAGAAGCGTGTCTTTAGTGCTACCTACTGAGCGATTCACTCACCCCATTATAATTATCATTTTTCAGGTTACGGAAAGGAACTGGTGGATGGAAATCCACCCCAATTATGGCGGAGTGATCAAAGTTCACTATTTTGTTATTTTGTATTTTGGCCATTCTTTTGTATACTCAATGTTTTAGAAATGTAATCAGTGTTAACATTTAAGGCCATGTAATTTAAGAATGAAGCTTACCTTTTATTTGATGTATATGAAACTAATGGAATCATTGTATATGTATAAATTTCCATGAAACTGTACTAGGTGTTGTAGTACATTGGTTGTGTGATGATATTCTATTTCACAGTCGTAAAATGATCCATTTTAGATTGTTTTGTTCAAGTTCGGAGCATTCTAAAGTCTTCATCTCAGTTTTCGTTCATTTCTATAAGTGCAGCATCTCAGTAACAAGTTCTAGGCTCGGAAGAGCCATTTCGGTCAACCGAAATGGCACATCAGTAGACCAAACCACCTGCAGACTCTCAACATCTCCCTCTTCGGTCGACCGAAACGGGGTTCGATCGACCGAACTGTTTTCAGACTCTCGGGATCTCCTGTTTCGATCGACCGAAATGGGGTTCGGTCGACCGAACCACCCTCTCACTCTCGGGATCTCACTCTTGGCCTTCATGTTTTGAAAAAGGCTTGCTTCGGTCGACCGAAGCTCCACTTCGGTTGACTGAAATGCATTTGTTGGCCCACTTTGCTTTTCTTTCCATGTTCTTCTACTCTCGACTCTTGGGAATTTGTTTTGAGCCCTTATGAAACTTAATGATGATCCAAAAGGTGACGTTTGATGCTAGAACTGATGAGTTTGACCTAGTGACCTCGGGTTCGAGTCAAGACCCGGTTAACGGTTCGGACCTCCGAGTTCGGGTCGTTACACTAAGGTTGTGGTGGAATGTCGTCAGCCACTTCTTTTTCATGACCTAAAAAATGTTAAATATATGGAGGGAGCAATTTGCTCAATAGGTAGTGCTTAAGGCACACCTCTTGAGTCCCCGTGAATCCGAACAAGTATAGAAACAAGGTACCAGGGGTCATGCTTTGCCGAGAACAAAATAGCCATATAACTTCATTAACATAACTGAAATCATGAATGCAAATGCCATGGAATGGGACGCAATGTCATGCAATATCGTTCCCCGTTTCCAAAACCATTTCCATTGCCACTTCCAAAACGTTAGTGAAACCTGTCCCACGGTGACCTCCTAGCAACACGAGAGGAGGATTGGCTACTGTCCCTGACCTATGGTAACCCCGTAGCGTCATTTGGGACCCAGATAGCTTAACCGCACTAAGGAAATTTCCCTAGTCCCCTCTGGGCCTCACTAACACCACAGCCCTTCGATAACCCCTAGGCGACCGGGTTTTTCATGAAACCTTTTTCAATAACTTTCTTCCCAAAAATCCCATCTTCATTTCTTTCAAAACCATTTCCTCATTTTTTTCCCAATATAGTGCAAGGATGATGATTCTTTTTTTTTATACCACACCAACATTTATCATTCTACAACTAAACCATACTCATGCCATTTAACATGCTTTACAAAAATTTCCCAAGAGTCATAACACTTCTTACATTTA